TTCCCAGCATCAGGGCTTTTTCAAATGAGTCAGTTCTTCAAATCAGGTGACCAAAGTATTGGAGTTTCAGCTTCAATATCAGTCTTTCCAATGAACACCCAGGACTGATCTCCTTTAGGATGGACTGGTTGGATCTCCTTGCAGCCCAAGGGACTCTTAAGAGTCTTCTCCAACACCACAGTTCAAAAGAATAAATTCTTCTGCACTTGGCTTTCTCTATAGTCCAACTCTCACATCCATATATGACTACTGGAAAAAACATAGCCTTGACTAGACGGACCTTTGTTGACAAAGTAATATCTTTCCTTTTAATATGCTGTCTAGGTTGGTCATAACTTTCCATCTAAGGGGTAAGCGTCTTTTAATTTCATGGCTGCAATCATCATCTGTAGTGATTTTGGAGCTCCCCAAAATTAAGTCAGCCACTGTTTCCCTGTCTATTTTCCATGAAGTGATGGGACCAGATGCCATGATCTTAGTTTTCTGAATGTTGAATTTTAAGCCAGCTTTTCCACTGTCCTCTTTCACTTTCATCAAGCGGTTCTTTAGTTCTTTTTCACTTTCTGCCATAATGGTGGTGTCATCTGCATATCTGAGGTGATTGACTTTTCTCCAGGCAATCTTGATTCCAGCTTGTGCTTCATCCAGCCCGGCATTTCTCATGAGGTACTCAGCATATAAGTTAAATAAGCAGGGTGACAATATACAGCCTTGACGTACTCCTTTTCCTATTTGGAACCAGTCTGTTGTTCCATGTCCAGTTCTAACTGTTGCTTCCTGACCTGCAAACAGATTTCTCTAGAGGCACATCACGTGGTCTGGTATTCCCAACTCCTGAAGAATTTTCCACAGTTTATTGTGATCCACACAGTCAAAGGCTTTGCATAGTCAACAAAGCAGAAATAGATGTTTTTCTGGAACTCTTTTGCTTTTTCAACAGCCCAGTGGATGTTGGCAATTTGATCTCTGGTTCCTCTGCCTTTCTAAAACTAGCTTGAATATCTGAAATTTCATTGTCCATGTACTGTTGAAGCCTGGCTTTAAGAATTTTGGGCATTACTTTACTAGCGTGTGAGATGAGTGCAATTGTGTGGTAGTTTAAGCATTCTTTGGCATTGCCTTTCTTTTGGATTGGAATGAAAACTGACCTTTTCCAGTCCTGTGGCCACTGCTGGGTTTTTCCAAATTTGCTGATATATTCAGTGTAGCACTTTCACAGCATCATTTTTTTTAGGATTTGAAATAGCTAAATTGGAATTCCATCACCTCCACTAGCGTTGTTCGTAGTGATGCTTTCTAAGGCCCACTTGACTTCACATTCCAGGATGTCTGACTCTAGGTGAGTGATCACACCATTGTGATTATCTGGGCCATAAAGATCTTTTTTGTACCGTTCTTCTGTGTATTCTTGCCACCTCTTCTTAATATATTTTGCTTTTGTTAGGTCCATACCATTTCTGTCGTTTATTGAGCCCATCTTTGCATGAAATGTTCCCTTGGTATCTCTAATTTTCCTGACGAGATCTCTAGTCTCTCCCATTCTAATGTTTTCCTCTATTTGCTTGCATTGATCACCGAGGAAAGCTTTCTTATCTCTTCTTGCTATTCTTTGGAACTCCTAGTTCAAATGGGTATATCTTTCCCTTTCTCCTTCGCTTTTCACTTCTCTTCTTTCCACAGCTATTTGTAAGGCATTCTCCGACAGCCATTTTGCTTTTTTGCATTTCTTTTTCTTGGGGAAGGTCTTGATCCCTGTCTCCTCTAAAATGTCATGAACCTCCATCCGTAGCTTTGTGGTATAGTCTAAAGTCAGGCAGGTTAATTCCTCCAGTTCCATTTTTCTTTCTCAAGACTGCTTTTGCTAGTCAAGGTTTTTTGCATTTCCATATACATTGTGAAATTATTTGTTCTACCAATACCATTGGTAGCTTGATAGGGATTGCATTGAATACATAGATTGTTTTAGGTAACATACTCATTTTCACTATATTGATTCTTCTGACTGATGAACATGGTATATTTCTCCATCTATTTGCGTCATCTTTGATTTCTTTCATCAGTGTCTTGCAGTTTTCTATATAGAGGTCTTTTATTTCTTTAGGTAGATTTATTCCTAAGTATTTTATTCTTTTCATTGCAATGGTGAATGGATTTCTCCCTTAATTTCTCTTTTTCTGTTTTCTTAATTGATCCACCTGCTTTATATTCCTTCTTCTCTCCTTGTTTTTCTTCCTTTTGTATTAAATAAATCTGTTATTATTTCAGGTTTTCCTCTTTCCTTTTGATTTTCAGCAGCTTTACTAGGAGTGGGATATTTCATACTCTTCCATTTAATTTTTTAAAAAATTTTCCATCATTATATTTTCAAATATTGCTTCTGTAGTTCTGTCTCTCTGTCTCTAGATCTCTTTTCCCTCTCCTCTTCCTCTTTCTTCTGTTTCTCATCTCTCATCTTTAGGACTCCTCTGAAAGAGGTGAAAGTGAAGTAGCTCAGTTGTGTCTGACTCTTTGCGACCATATGGATTGTAGCCTACCAGGCCTCTCCGTCCATGGGATGTTTCAGGTAAGATTACTGGAGTGGATTGCCATTTCCTTCTCCAGGGGATCTTCCTGACCCAAGGATCAAACCCAGGTCTCCTGCATTGTATGCAGATGCTTTTACCATCTGAGCCACCAGGGAACACATTAGGACTTCTCTAAGTCGCTATATTCTGAGTTCTATCTCAAATTCGTTTAACTGATTCACTCACTTTTTAAGGTTGTCAATGGTTCCTTTGATATTTTTACTTACTAATGATTATTTGGTAATTTTTTCATCTTTTTACCTGTTTATTCTGTCCTCTCTTTCCCCCTAAATACATTGACCATAGTTAAAATCCTTATCTGCCAAGTCCAACATTTCTATCATGTGTGTCTTTGTATTCTCTTATCTTCTTTTTTCACTTTGATCATTTGTCATGTTATCCTGGTTTGTCAAATGTCATGCTATTTTTTATTGAGTGCTACAAATTATATATGAAAAAGTGAGCTACTCCCAATACATTTTCTAATGCCTGAAAAGATTTACCCTTTGTTTTGCTAGACAGGTATAGAGAAGGGGTATATGTCACTCAAACATCTAAATATAACCTAAAACTGAGCTGTCACAAGTATGGGTCGCAGTTTTGGTAGCACTCAGTCCACCTCTGCTTTCTCTGTCCCTGTGACAGGGACTTCCAGAGATTTCTGTTCAGAGCCAGGATTCTTTGGTAGCTCAGTACCCAAGAGAATGAGAAAGACTCTGCTTTCCAAGTTTTTTACATAGTTCTTTAGCCTTCTGCCCTTCACAGCTTATATACTGGGCAGATATTTGAGGAGAAAACGTACTGTGTGAAAGAGGCTCTCAAGACTCTAATTTTGTCACTCCAGCACCAGGTAACTCCCAAATTATGCTGGCTTCCTGTCACAATAGTAGTCCTCTGCTTGCCCAAGCCCAGATTCTGAATCGCTAAATTATGCAATAAATCAACAAATTCCCACAGAGAAAAAGAAGCTATAGATCCTGGACTAACATTGAAATAATCTCCACTCTTTAGAATTTTAGCATATTTAGTCCATGCTCTGTTAACAAATGTTGAATACATTTACTGTTTCTTAAAAAATATTTTCCAGCTTTTAAAGTTGTATCCAGCAAGACCCAGCAAAACACATTGGCCTGCTGTGAACTCCTCCATTCTCCCTGGAAGTGGAAAATTTTAGGTTTAATTCTCTACTTCACATTTACTCAAAGTATGATACTGATAGACATTATTTAACCTTTCTTTATGTCACTTTTATGTATAAAAGGAGAGAAGAATACATTGAATCTGTTAATGTTATTTGTTCAAGGGCTTTCAGAGCAGGAATATAACTTATTTCCGCTCAGTGGTAGAACCAGAAGGGCTCCACCAGTGGCTCAGCGGTAAAGAACCTGCAATGCAGGAGACACTGGTTAAGTCACTGGGTCAGGATGATCCCCTGGAGGAGGGTAAGGCAACCCACTCCAGTATTCTTGCCTGGAGAATCCTATGGACAGAGGAGCCTGGAGGGCTATGGTTCATAGGGTCTTAAAGAGTCGGACAGGATTGAAGCAACTAAGCACACATATACACTATTTCCCCCTCAAGATCATATAACTCCAAAATTTGAATAACAGAAATTCTTGACACAAAGTCCAAGGAGCGATTGTATGTTTGGGGGAGAAGAAGAACATTCTCTGATTCCCAGTGAAATCTGGCCAATGTCAATTAATGTTATCTGACATCATCTCTCATGCAAATTGTTCAATCCACTCAGAGAGATCACATTTTTTGAAGCTAAGTATCCAGATCTGAAGTCTGAAGCTTAGAACCAAAAGTGATACATTCTGGGGTAAACCAAGACATCTCAGAATCAATTTGTTTCTTGGTTCTGAATGACTGTACTAAGGAGAAGGATTCTAATGGTAGATGATTCATGAATACTATCTGAGGTATCTAATGAGGCCAGTTCCTGACTCCACTCCATTTAATTAACCCTTTTAATTCTTAAGTAAATGGCATCAAAGTGTGTGTGGCTTGTAAGGAATCCATCCAGCTGCCAGCTCATTCCTGTGACTCTGAACTCATTTAACTACTCTGGGAAGAGAGACCAACATTTCCTGTAAATCATTCCCAGATGCTGTGCAGAACTCTACAGATCAGAATGTTAACTCTGATATGACCTTGTAACACCTTCTGTCTCATACTACTCACTACAGTGTTTTCAACTTAATATTTCCTGTTTGGTTTTCTTCTACTATTCAACCTTATTAATTCTCTTACCACTGCTGTGAGAAACCAGACCCCACTGCTGCCCCAGTACAATGACTCCATGTCAGAATCAGCAGAGTCTGCAGCCTCAGAGGAGAGCGCCCCTTACTGCTCAGGTGAGGGTCCCACAGGACAGAAGACCCTTCTCATTCCCCAGGTCAATGCTCCATTGTCCCATTTCTCTCTCTTCAGGCAGCAGACAGCTCCGCCTGGTCGACGGGGGCGGTCCCTGTGCCGGGAGAGTGGAGATCCTTGACCTGGGCTCCTGGGGCACCATTTGTGATGACGGCTGGGACCTGGACGATGCCCAAGTGGTGTGCAGACAGCTGGGCTGTGGAGGAGCCCTCGATGCCCCTGTCTCTTCTTACTTTGGTGTGGGATCAGGGCCCATTTGGCTGGACGACCTGGACTGCACAGGAAAGGAGTCCCACGTGTGGAACTGCCCTTCCTGGGGCTGGGGGAAGCACTACTGTGATCATAGCCAGGATGCAGGAGTCATCTGCTCAGGTATGGTCAGCTCATTGCCCACCAGCTGGGAGAATGGAAAGTTCCAAGAAAGCTGGTGTCTGATCAGAGGGACAATAGGGAATGGGTGAGCTAGAGAGGACTGAGACAACTACCCATCCTCCCTAAGTGCACTGTAGCTGTGAGCTATGAGTGTCATATACTTTCCTCTTACAAGTCTCTGCTATTCTTCTCCAGTGGTCTTACTTGACACTAAAATAGGTCTATTTATTCTCCCAGTTAAAATAAATCCTCATAAATTTTTTTTCATAATTCACTTTTTGTAAGAGTGAAACATTTGCTAACAGCCACATACACACTGTGAGAGTTGGACTGTGAAGAAAGCTGACTGCTGGAAAATTGATGTTTTTGAACTATGGTGTTGGAGAAGACTCTTGAGAGTCCCTTGGGCTGCAAGGAGATCCAACCAGTCCATCCTAAAGGAGATCAGTCCTGGGTGTTCACTGGAAGGACTGATGCTGAAGCTGAAACTCCAGTACTTTGGACACCTCATGCGAAGAGTTGACTCAGTGGAAAAGACCCTGATGCTGGGAGGGATTGGGGGCAGGAGGAAAAGGGGACGACAGAGGATGAGATGGCTGGATGTAATCACCGACTCGATGGGCATGGGTTTGGGTAGACTCCGGGAGTTGGTGATGGACAGGGAGGCCTGGCGTGCTGTGATTCATGGGGTCGCAAGGAGTCAGACACGTCTGAGTGCATGAACTGAACTGAACTGAACTGAACATACACTCTCTCTTTGCAAAGGAAGTCTATGAGAGGCAGGGACAAAAGTGATGTACTTTCTTGGGTGGAATTTTTACTATACAAGCAGCGTGAGACATTATTTTCCACTAGGTTAGTATGAATGGAGGCTACTACTACTATAGGAGGACATCATTTACATATCTAGAGGGTGTCCCTACAGAGGATATCATTTAAAAGATCAGAGATTCTTATGGATTTGTGCCAGATTTCAAGTTTCATTTGCAAATTTAGACTTAAATGTTCATAGTTCCTTGATGGTAGAGAACTGTTGATGAAATGCTCTGAGTTATATATGCTTCCATTGTTACTAGAAAAGTCTCTCTCTCCAATTATTCCTTTAAAATATCTGTATAAATGCAAACATTAGAGGAACACTTAGCCATGCACTGACAAGTCAAAGTGGAGGTAAAAAAACCTTGAATTTCTGTGTTTTATGATAAGAGATTATATAGTTTATACTTGATAACTTCAATGATATAAGAGAACCGTGTTTGGGGGCTTTCTTGGAGTAAGTGGACAAATATAATTTTTGAAGAAGGTGGAAAAGGTTTTATAGTAGCTGTGAGGAATGAGAATGGCAATGGGAGCTGATGAAGGCAAGTGTGAGGTTCTCTGATCAGCACTGAGGGGCCAGGTGTGGTGTGAAGTATGCTACATGTGCCTAAGGACACAGAATGTGTACACAGATAAAGGCTAGGCAAGGATATATCTTTATTATATTTTATATATTTACTCACATCAGCCTTCTATTTAATAGGTTTCTTGGAATTGTCACACACTTATTCTTCCATGTAAATTTTAAAATCAAGTAGAAAATAAAAAAGATATACTATATCTCAGAAGTCTCTATCCTGATATATATAAGACTTTATTGATTATTCAGCATATATTTGAATATTTCACATGTATCAGGGTATATAAACCAGAATACAAGAAATACTTCTTTCTTGTTCTAAATTTTTAATCTCATAGAATTAATATAACAATATCAATAACCTCAGATATGCATATGACACCACCTTAATGGCAGAAAGTGAAAAAGAACAGAAGAGAGCCTCTTGATGAAAGTGAAAGAGAAGAGTGAAAAAGTTTTCTTGAAACTCCACATTCAAAAAACTAATATCATGGCATCCAGTCCCATCACTTAATGGCAAAAAGATGAGGAAAAAATGGAAACAGCCACAGACTTTAGTTTCTTGGGCTCCAAAGTCACTGCAGACAGTGACTGCAGTCATGAAATTAAAAGATGCTTGTTCCTTGGAAGAATAGCTATGACAAACCTAGACAGACTATTAAAAAGCAGAGACATTACATTGTGACAAAGGCCCATGTAGTAAAATCTATGTTTTTTTTCCAGTAGTTATGTATGGACATGAGAGTTGGATCATAAAGAAGGCTGAGGGCTGAAGAATTGATACTTTTGAACTGTGGTGCTGGAGAAGACTCTGGAGAATCCCTTGGACAGCAAGGAGATCAAATCAGTCAATCCTAAAGAAAATCAACCCTGAATAACTCATTGGAAGGACGGATGCTAAGGCTGAAACTCTGATACTTTGGCCACATGATAAGAAGAACTGACTCATTGGAAAAGACCCTGAGGCTGGGAAAGATTGAAGACCGGAGAAGAAGGGGATGACAGAGGATGAGATAGTTGGATGGCATCACTGACTCAATGGACATGAGTTTGAGTAAACTCAGGGAGATAGTGAAGGACAGGGAAGCCTGGTGTGCTGCAGTCTATGAGGTCACAAAGAGTCAGATACGACAGCAACAAAAACAACCAGTTAAATAAAAATGCTTTAATTAGAATATGTACCCTGTGACCAAATTCCCAGCCATAGGAGACTAAGGGTCCTAACCTGGGCCTCTCTGGGGAGATGGAAATGGATAAATAATAAGAGGCCAGAAGATCATCCTCTCTCTCATCATTCATTCTTTTATAAGTGGTAAAGCTAATCCTTCAATTCTTTAATTTCTGTGGTGTCTTCTCTTCTCTGCTGCTCTCTATAGTAGATTTTTATTATTTCACATCATTCTTTCTGAGGATTCAAAGTTCACATACTTATGCAATCAAGGTCCTTTACCAGGACAAATTCCACTGTGTATGTAAATAACCACGAGCACACTCAGAAACCAGGCAAATTATTTAAAAAACTGTTCTTGATGATGTGCAGTGATTGTTTCCCATTGTATTACCCTTTATCTATCCAAATGGGGTCCTGAAAGATGAGATCATGATCATGAGTTTTTTCGTTGGTCTCTGTCTCATACTACATCCATTCCCTGTTTAACTCACCCCACCTCACTCCCTACAGAAGTTCTTTCCTTTTGTAGTCTCCTTTCCATATATTTGTCGCTCTTAAGATTGTTTCTTCTTTTCTGTATTGGGGGAAATGGGAAAGGGTTGCAGTGTTAGCTGGAAAATGGGAGGAGCTCAGGGGGCAAAAGGTGTTAAAATCTTGTTGAACAAGTATTTGGTTTCCAAATTATGTTTCATCCCTTTTGAGTCTTTTGCAATTTAGAAATCACTAAAATATATATTGCTTGCTTGCTTGCTCTCTGCTGTCTTCCTCTCACTCTCCTTTTTCATAGCTTGCTGGCTTATTATCTCAGAAATCCAAATAGGAAAGGTATATGTAGTTGGCATATAGATAGAGTTAGAATATATTAAATTATCATCACTCCTTCACATTTGCTAACTATCTCATGTCTAGTGTGAAGTAATCAACTGACTCAGTTGTCTTGCATAATCCCACTGAGACTTCACTTTCTCTCTGGTGTGTTCTTAAATCCTATGTTTTTAAGAAAGATGGCTGGGACCATTCACTCCCTCTCCTATGACTCTCTGAGCTTTCATCATTTCCAAAATTATCTGTGAACAACTTCTTTCACAATTAGGTTACCTAATTGTGACTTAACGCCTGCACTCAAATCCTGGTTGCATGGTGTTCCCTGTCCTCAGTGACTTGAGAGCCACTTGAGTGGCTCAGAGAGAATACTGGACAGGATTCCAGCTCCAGAAATCTCAGCATGGCCTTCTAAACTTCTCTGGCTCTTAGGCCTCTAACCCCTTGAATCCCATGGTCTTTTTTCACTCTCAGTTAGTCCAGCTCTGGACCCATTTGAATGTCTACCACTGTGCAGTTTCTTTGGGCACTGTAGTTTCCAGGTCCTCAGATAGGAATTGACATTCCTATCCAATATATATTCTTGGGATTCAGCCATTCCAAACTGACCCTGCAATCCTTCTGGATATCTTTTCAGAAACTTGCTCATGAAAATGCGTTTTGACAATGATAGTCAAATTCTCTCTTCTTATCCCCTCTTATTTCATTGTTGGAAAGAAAAGCTCTCACACAACTGCCTGTGAGGTGTTGTTTCCAATTGTCAAGCCAGGTTCATGAACACTCACTGGGTTTGTCCTTTGTTTCTCTTAGGATTTGTACATCTGGTTGGAGGGGATGGACCCTGCTCAGGGCGAGTAGAAGTGCATTCTGGAGATGCCTGGATCCCAGTGTCTGATGGAAACTTCAAACTCCCTACTGCCCAGGTCATCTGTGCAGAGCTGGGGTGTGGCAAGGCTGTGTCTGTCCTGGGACATGTGCCCTTCAGAGAATCTGATGACCGGGTCTGGGCTGAAGAGTTCAGATGTGAGGGGGAGGAACCTAAGCTCCAGTTCTGCCCCAGAGTGCCCTGTCCAGGGGGCAGGTGTCACCACAGTGGAGCTGCTCAGATTGTCTGTTCAGGTGAGATGCGTGGCAGGACTTAACCTCCATGTACAGTTGGTTCAACTAAAAAAAAAAAAGACTTTGCTGAAATCCTGTCTTTTTCTATCAGTGTACACAGACATCCGGCTCATGAAAAACAGCACCTCTAGGTGTGAGGGGCAGGTGGAGATGAATATTTCTGGACAATGGAGAGCTCTCTGTGCCTCCCACTGGAGCCTGGCCAATGCCAATGTTGTCTGTCGTCAGCTTGGCTGTGGTGTCGCCGTCTCCACCCCAAACAGAGCAGAAGGAAGTGATCGACTCTGGAAAGCCCGATTCCACTGCTCAGGGACTGAGTCCTTCCTGTGGCAATGCCCTGTGACTGCCCTGGGTGTTCCTGACTGTTCCCATGGCAACACGGCCTCTGTGATCTGCTCAGGTAAGACAGGGAAGGGCTACTATACTTAGGATGCTCCTGGAGTGAAATCTCCCTAAAGCAGAGAAAAAGGGAAAACAGGCTTAAAAAGG